TTGCTATAGTCCAATGGTGATTCATGTTGCTCCAAACTGCTGAGTTTGATCCCTGCTTTAACAAGAAGCAGAAGGCTTTACTCACATACAGCAACTTGTTTGGACTTGTGATAAAGATGCAAAGGTTTAGGATATTGAAACTGAGACTTGGTTTATAGCGGGGTTTGCTCCTGGTATCATTTTCATTTTTATTGGTTAATCTAATTACATGTGCTGTGTATTTAGGGGGAAAATTCACTGTTGGATGAACATACACACACACAGACACACAAATGTACGACATTAGCTTGCTAAAGCTAGTTATCTAGACTGTTAAGCGATGAGCAAGGACTCCAGTACCAGCACACACACAATTTTGCACCAGAAATGTCATATGAAGTATAGAAGTATTTCATTTTCTGACACAGGCGATGTTCGGAGACAGCTAGGGCTAAAGCTAAATCTGAGGACCACGGTGGTCCTGAGCCATTTGATATGCTGGCACAGGCGGAAATCTCAATCTCAGGATCAAATGGTATGTGTGTGTGTGTGTGTGTGTGTGTGTGTGTGATAGACAGCCAAGGGCCAGAAGATGAATGTTAGGCTTTGTGGTAGTTTAGGGGTTTAGTTTAAGCAGAGATGTGAAAATGAGAGCGGCTTTCGTAATTCCCATTAGGGACTGGTCGCTGGTGGCGGAGGGTGTTAATCTTTCATATATATTTAAATAATTTAGAGGCATCCAAAATGGTTGGCTCTATGTAAGCATTGGTCCTACAGGGTCCAAGATGATTTCAATCACTGGCTGGCATTATGAGCCATGTTCCAACCACATCTTTTTTTATAAATGTGTAATAAATGTGATATTGAAACCAGCATTAATGTATTTCATCTAAGAATAGTCATATAATTTAGTTTACAGCTCATAAAAGAATTGTTGTAAGACTATAAGACTTTTATCCTTCATATTTCCATATAGGTGATCGAGCACAACAAATGGAGACACCAGTGCAGCAACAAATCGCCGAACAAGGTCAAATTTACGATGATGGATACTCACTGCAGCCCACCACCAGGCATATGGGATACTGCTGATGGGAGATCCCTCAGTCTCCCTCTCGGCTGAATGCAGAAGAGCAGAGAAAGTGAAGATTCCCATGGCGATAAAAAGGAAAATGCAAGATGCCTGCTGGTAACACTGCCGCAGAGTGAACCCAAATGCTCTCATGCCGGTTGAGTGTCGAGCCAACTTCAAGATCCGAAATACCCTCAGCAGCTTCACCACTTTGAGGACATGGCTGAGTCTGCTGACTCGAGCCATTGCCCTGACCTCTTTCTGTGCGCTCGTATCCTCTGTGTTATTGAAGCCTTCGAAGATGATCTGGAAGAAATAAGGCATCACTGCCACCATGTCCACAAAGTTTAGTCCACTCTTCAAAAACATTATGATGTCTGGACTGCTTACAAGGCGAATTAAATATTCAAAGGTAAAGAAGACAATGGTGATAATCTCCACCCATTCCATGAGTGTTTTGCCTTTAATTGTATACTGTTGAATTTCCTCCACAGTGTTGAGAGCCATTGCCATGATAGAGAAGAGCACAAAAAGATTCGAAAGCACGTTGAAAGCCTTCGCCAGAGTTGAAGAGTACGGATCCTCTACAACGTTCCACAGACTCTTCCTTAGATCACCAAACATCATGTCCTGGAAGGACTCTTCATTGTACTTCACCTCAATCTCAGCCATCAGCTCCTTGTCCACCTTTAGGTTGTCCTTCACCTCATCCACCTTCTCCTCAAACATCATCCAGCAGCAGCGCTGAGTGTCCTTCAGGCTCAGACCCCAGTATGCCATTTCCTCCTCAAAGTTGATGGGGCACATTTCCTGTATGACCCACAACACTCCGCTTGTGTAGAAATGGCGGATGTGGTGGAAGAAGGCAGGGTCCCGATCGAAGAAGAACTCGTTCTTGCGTACGGAGTAGTCATCACAAAGTGTGCAGAGTTTTGCTCGGTCTCTGCATAGAGCCAAGGAGCCAATACGGGTACGAGGGTATTTGACGGCACACTGTGTAGGGATGTGAAAAACCTTCCCTCCAACGTTAACACTGATGCTCTGCTGCAGCTTAGGTCTCTCCTCAGCTTTAGGACACTCTGCTTCGATACCAGGACTGTCGAGATCATCCAGCGAGCTCCATGCTTTGACCGTTTTCTCCTGAGAAAATGGGAATGTTTTGTGGTCGTCTGCACCATTTGAGAAATAATTAATAGTAGACCGGCGATTTTGTAAACATCTCTGAAGTTGAGCTTGTGCTGAAGCCATAGAAACTGTACTGTCAGCACAGAAGTGAAATTGAGCAAAAAGAAACAAGGAAATACTTTCTAGCAATTTTTTCTAGCAACACATAGTATCTTGCTAAATCACCAGAAAGATTTCATCAGGTCCTACAGGAAGCAAGACTCCAGAAATATCCTGTTTTGCTGCTTTGCTGTGAACCAGGTGGAGAGAAAAGATTGTATCTTACTGCAAATACTTAACAAAGGCAACTGATTCTAAGGAGGAGGAGAGCAGCAGGGATTTCATCTATTTAATCTCACTGGTGCCCTTCCAAGTCTCTTTAAGCAGTTGTAGGGTGTGTGTGTGTGTGTGTGTGTGCATTAAGAAACAAGGTTGATTTAAGGATTTTTAAGTGACGGGGCAATGAGCCAACTGGGGCTTTATGTTGTATCTATTGTTATTCCTTTTAAATCACTTTTTTCTATTCAATTCTTTCTTCGTACTGTTCTCACTCTGGTGATAAAATGTATCTTCTCGTAAAAAACCTGTAATGTGTGTAATTTTCTTTGTGGTTTTTCTACTACCTGGTAGTTGGTATTTAACCCATGAAGTCAAATATGAAATATTATACAGCTGTATACAGCGTCAACATACAGTTGGCAATTACATTCAAACATGGGGCCTTTTTTTATTTTTTTATTTGAGCCTATCAGACATATAAAAACAGCTTGATGGGGGTAATGGGCTCTATGTACAACCCGACATACTTTCTGTAACAGGGACTTTGCAGTGAAAGACAAATCAGTCACTGTAGGATTAGTGTCGGGGTATCGCGGTGGTCCCAGGGACCCCAGCAACACATTCCTCGTTGGCAAAGTTAAAGAACAAAGATATTTATAAGTAGCATGGTGGAGATGCAGACCTGTATGGTTTTAATTGTTTAAGTGCTTTTTAAATTATTTTATTGGTCTCACTAGTGCTGGCCTCCTAACTGTATGTGTCAAAAGTAAATCTAGAGAAGTGGAATTCAGTAACTATGGTCCCTCTCTAGAACAAATCCTCAGATGATATAAGATATAATAATAAAACCTGTTCTGCGTGTTTGTGTCTGTTTTTGTTCATTTCATCTTTGAGGGTAAGACAGTGGGTGTGTTGTCTAAACATCTGTATCCTTGTCAGCTGCTAGAGCCGAACATAACCAACCTGACACGTAGGAGCAACGTGCTCACAGTTCCACAGACTCTGCATCACTCTACATTTCTTTACTTGTTGGAGTTACTGATATTGATGCACTGGGTGTTAGCAGTGAGATAACTACACATAGTTGTATTATACTTCCCTTTCAGTAGGTTTATCCTGTGAAATTAAATATCTATTTTAAATGGGAGAGAGTTTACAGATGTACCTTGTGACCCCCACGCCACGGTGCAAGAAAACAGGACCATGTGTTTAAGTGATTGCAACGTTCCCACCAGTGTGTCGTCAGAGTCAGGTCAGACAGTGTGTCAAACTAAAGCTCATTATAGAGCGACATCATGTGATTAAGTGAAATGTTTCACCTCTCATCAGGAGGCTTTCTTCACTTCAGTTCCACAGGCCTTGTTCCTTAAAAGCAGATTCATATTTCGTGGCCCACACGTTATTATATCGTGTTTTATGTTATGTATTTTTGACCAAATGTCACCAGGGGCTCCTTAACTTACACAATCACACAATCAGAGTTTTTTTTACCAGCATTTAGCAGCTGTAACTGTATTTCCACTGACTGAGGTCCTGTGTTCACTATTTACGAACACACAGTTTTACTTCTTGTGAAGCAAAAAAATATGATATTTAATGATTTTTAAAAAAGCTTGCAATGTTAAGTGCAGTGTAAAGTTAGCGTGTTAAATAATGAAGATTAAAATTATAAATTGATGTTTTTCTATCTTTCTATGTGACACAAAAATATTTTATTGTTTATAAACTTGCAGGAAAAAACATGAAATATTTTTGATATTTAATTCATGTTCATCATTCAACCGAATCTCACGTGGCTCAAACACAGTTCAACAATGATTCTGAAGCCACCCACATATAAATAAAACTGTTCCTTACAAATAAATACCAACAACAAAACTCACACAGTTTGAGTTCGAGAAAAAAAGAACACAAGGAGACTGGACATCAGACAAGGCAAGTCGATCAAAACATTCACAAGTAAATCCAAACCTGTGGGAGACATCGAATAAAACCACACACACACATTTGTTCCCATGGTTGCACCAGCGATTAGAAACCATCAAAACTTAAACCTGCAACCCAAGAAATCCTCTTTGTCTCTTTACTCACACTCTTAACACTGACTACATGTGCAGTGTTAATGTATCTGAACAAGCTACACTTCATTGTCTTTTATAATTGGACAGAGTCAGGTTCATTGCTTCAACCCTTTTCTTTCCAGTCTTCGTTATAAAGTGGAGATAACCAGCTGCTGGCTTCATGTTAATATCAGCATCAAACATTTCCCGACATTTAAAGACAAAACAAAAAGACAATATACCTTGATTTTCTGGCCATTCCTCTGCGTGATGGAGCTGACAAGCAGCAGCAGTTTCAGTAGTAATCAGTAAAAACTATAAGAAAAGCTCTGTCATAACCTCCTCTGATGGATAAATTAAAGCTGAAGGATTTTAGTTTGCCATGACCCCAGATGAGGTCACTGTAAAAGACCCCAGTGAGAGTCAAACCCAGCGTTTTCCTGGAATAAAAATAAAAATCATTTTCTCAGTCCAGTACACTTTTTGGAGTTTTAAACTGAGAGAACAGAATTAATTTCCTTCCTTTCACATTCTTCCTTGAATTTGAAGTGTTTAAAAGAATAAAGCATCTTTTTTACCGTTACAGTATCTTAGAGAATTGCCCTCCTGGGACAAATAAAGTTGTTTTTAATTGAATTGAATACTGACAAACCTGAATGCCAAGAACTAAATATAATTGTTGGAAGGAAAATCTACTATTCACAACACCTCCAATCCATCTATAATACTGGAAAAGTAAAGTTTTGTGACTAAAAATAAACTGGAATTGCAAAGACTCATTATTTTCTCAATGAATCTTTCTGTCTTTCAAATCCAAGATAACAGTGAAATCAATTTATCACCACTCTCCGCAGATCTCAAATAGTATGTTTTGTCTGATCAACAGTACAAAACCCAAAGACATTTTAATTTTACTGTCAAATTTGAAAGAAAACTAGAAAAATGTCATCTGAAACCAGCTAATCAATAATGAAAATATCCCAATTCATTTCAGTTTGGTCATTTCAAACTATCTTTCTCACGGTCATTTTGGAGAATTATAGTCTGTAACACAACTGGCAACTGTTGAGCAAAATGCTTGAAAACAGGAATTTAAAAAATTAAGCAAACTATTTCATCCATATTAATATTTAACACAAAAAAATAGATGAATGCTTATTGACCGGTTTCAGAATCAAACTTGACAATGGCCTTCATGAACAAGAAGAATAATCTACTGTAGAAGCACGAAGGCTGAATGTAATACTTCTCCAGAACTAAAGGTGTAACAGTAATGACTGTTCAAAGGCCCTTTCCCCTCTCCGATCTCACTCATCTACCAGCTGGGTTTGCCGTCAATGTCGTTCAGTCTGGGGCTTGAGAAGCACCAGGTGAAGCCCAGTCAGCTGGACGTCTGTCACACTTTCTTCATTCCGCGTCCAAGTCCAGCTTATGCAGTTTCCTGGCGACGGAGAAAACACACGGCTTAGTTGAAATACTGCACACTGTAAGCCTTTAACCTGAGGAGAGCCGGTCAAGCTGTGTTTATCTGCGGAATGAGCAGAGTGCTTTTTAAGAAAAGTGACCTGCATTTAGAACCAAGAGACCTAAATGAACAACAAACAGGCCTGACACTGGACTATTGAGACCAATATTGAAACTTCTATTAAAATAAAGAAGTATATATATAAGTCTATATATAAATTGCTACATTGGGTTTGTCAATATTAACATTGAATATACAAGTACATGACAAATCCCTTAAGTAGGTCATAAAGGAATTTTAACTAAGTGCTGAATGGGACACTTCACAGATTAAGATGGGGCTGCATCTAACATTTATTATTTGTTTATGATTATATCTTAAGTTAAATTTAATTACTTCTCCACACACACACACCACCCCCTACAACGGCTTAAAGAGACTTGGAAGGGCACCAGTGAGATTAAATAGATGAAATCCCTGCTGCTCTCCTCCTCCCGAGAATCAGTTGCCTTTGTTAAGTCTTTGCAGTAAGATACAATCTTTTCTCTCCACCTGGTTCACAGCAAAGCAGCAAAACAGGATGTTTCTTGGATATCGCTTCCTGCAGGACCCAATGAAATCTTTCTGGTGATTTAGCAAGATACTATGTGTTGCTAGAAAACATTGATAGAAAGTGTTTCCTCGCTTCTTTTTGCTCAATCTCACTTCTGTGCTGACAGTACAGTTGCCGGTCCAATCTGGAGGTGAATTAACGTGCCTGTCTTTGAGTGTTTGACTGTTTACTGACTTCTCTTACCTTGGCCCCTGGATGATGATGAGCGGGTCCTGAGATTCTTTGAGGTAGAAACTCTGCACAGTGAGGGGCCTGGATGGCCTGAACTCCTCTCTCCACCACCATACAGCCATCCCCACCAGCAGCAAACTGAGAAAAACTGTGAACAAAAAAAGTGTACACACACACACACACACACACACACCACACACCACACACCACACACACACACACACAAATGGCAAGTTAAGATGCTGCTGACAAGGTTCTGTATGATACCTCCACCATTCCCTCCTCTATACAGACAAACAAGTGGCCACTACGACCAAATAAATAAGGAAATTATAAGACAATAAGAAAAAAGTGAAGTCAACAATGATTCATGCAAATAATTATTGAAATGAATGTTCCACTTAAACAAGTTTAATAATATATTTAACTGTTTAAGTCTCTACATTCAAACTCAAACACTTCACAATTCAAATCTAGTTCATGTAAACACATTCGAAAAAACCTGAGGACACAGACTGGTGTCTTAATTGCTGGTGCTCTATATTTGTAATTTCTGTGTTTTTTAGCAAAGCTTTTATTATTAATATCTGATTATGAGTCACTGTTACAATAAAACATTTGATATATGTAATGACTGTTCAAACACACATTTGTACATGTTTTAGTAGCGATGACCTGGCCTGTGAGACAGGTCATCTTTCTTATTGACAGGTTCTGCTGTCAATAAGAAAGACAGACTTTATTTGACCCAGGAAACTGAATCTTACTGATAAGAGAGAGGACTCCAATGAAGGTGGGATCAGATAACCTCGAGGCCCGAACAGCGATAGAAGGAGTTTCATGAGAATTTTGTTCAGTGTCTGGAAAAACACAGCTGAACTCTGGACTCTCAGACAGCAGGTCGACCACACACCCGTGGTGGCACGCTGTCCCAGGACGTCCACATACAGATGACCCTAAGAACCAACAGGATGTTGTGAGGTGGCCAAGTACACCCTGTTTTTATTAATCAAACCTAAACACAAACCTTAACATATCATGAAATCTGAGACATATCATGTGCAGAAATGTCCTTGATCGTACCATCAGGCTGGAGGACGGGCTGAATGACGACCACACCACCTGGTGATGCTACATTTGTCAGCAGTATTTGAAGTTGGCTGCCATTGTGCTTGTTTGCTCTGCAGATGGAGCGCGTGACTTCTTCACTCCAATATACAAAACCCTGTTGAAACAGAGAGAGGGAGTAAGCATTATTTGATTGTGGGTTTTCTTAGGCTTCTTCCTACAGTTCAAATAMATGCAGATCAGGRTGAGGTTGATTGCAGACTCTAAATTGACTGCAGCTTTGAGTGTGAAGATTTATAGGCGCATCAGTACACCACAGGGCTGTAACATCTTTTTCACCTCAAACACAGCCAGTCCGAAGGGTCGGTCCAGATAACCATTAGATTCCACCACTGTTTTACGATCACGGCCTTTAAAGTTTACTCTGGAGATGCTTCTCTGATCAGCCCAGTACAACAGCTGACGAGGCATATCTAGGGGGAAAAAAACACATGAACACATAAATGGATGTGGTAAACAGCACTGCTCACACATATTGTTTTAAAGGGGAGGCCATTCCTTTTTTAAATTTCTTTAAACTTTCCAAAATCAATTCAGATACATTGCAAAATGAAAACATATGGAGTATAGAGATTTTCCAAGTTTCCAAGTACAAAAACTTTCTTTGATAATTATCACAACATACCTACAGAGAGGGCAACAGGGCAGCGTATTGAGGAAGTGACTAGGGCCACAGTGTCTCGGCCGTCCAAGCCAGCACTCTCAATCTTTGGGAAACTGCCACATTGAGCCCAGAAGAGAAACCTGAGAAAACAAAATGCAGCAGAGTTCTGCGATAAGATTCTTGACTCATCCCATTTAATTGTTCTTTATGTTTGTACTTCTTGCATTCATGCTTTTTCCAATATTGTAAAAATTGTAATTGTGTAATTAAACACAACACTGAAAATATTTTTTTATGTCATTCATTTAAAATATGTTACAAAAAAACTTCAACAGCCCGGTTTGGTTTAGACTTTGGCTAGGTTGTCCTCTGTGTAGTGTTTTTATGAATCAATGACACATCATTCTAATGAAGMTCAATYGTAATCAGAAAATAGTTTTTTGAAACCTCAACCTATGTCCAATCAGGCGGGGAGAATGAAATAAAYGTGATTGGCAGATTCAAATGGTATAGACTAAAGTTGACTATTGGGTGGGTAGAGTAGACATTTGGGTGGGTATTGCCCACCCCTGCCCACTTCTAGATCTGGGCCCCGTTAACAAACTGTTGAGAAAGTGAAAGTCGAAAGAGAGAGAAAAATTATTCTGTATCAGCACACTGATGCAGTCCCCCACCAAAACTGAATGGGTGATTTTCTGACCCAGACTGCATCCTTCTACCAAGTTTTGTGGGAATCTGTCTGACAGATGAAAACGTAACCTTGTTCCAGGTAAAAATGGAAATCTGTGTGTAGCTCTACCCTCTGAGAGGATCCACAGCCACTGCAGAAGGTTTGTCCAGCCCTGTGATGAGCTGACGCTGTATTGAACCGTCCAGCAGGCTGACGTTAATCGAACCACTCTCCACGCCGGTCCAGTAGAGGAGCTGGTGGATCCAGTCCACGGCCAGGCCCGACACTGTACCTTTTACTTTCAGCAGCAATGTGGCGTTATGTTGATTTCCATCCATGGAGACCCTGAGAAACATCCACAGATGAAAAGGCATAACACTCACAATCCTTGTCTTTGTGAGCATGTGAGCCTGCTAATGTTGACRCATATCACACGTTAACAGGCAGGAAAGGATCAGAAGCATCTTTTTACTAATGATCCTTTTCTTCTTATTAACTGATTATTTTGATGTTTCTCCCTGAAATCCATTAGACTATATGAAATCAGCCTCTATGTTCAGCACAGGGAATTAAATACACTTGTGCCAATCTAACTGTCTTTCCCATTACCTCTTTTTTGYACYGTTACCTTACCTCACTTTATGTCATATGTTTATATTGTTATATCTTTACACTGGTTGCACTGTTATTGGAGTGGTTTTTAAATCTCATTGTACATGTGTATAGTGACAATAAAGGCATTCTATCTATCTAGTTGTAGAGGGACATTCTTTCAGTTCATTAAACTCAATCTATGATGGTTATCTCCCTATTCTTTATTTATCAGCACATGTAATGTCACCAAACTGGATCAAGCTCAAGTCATTCATACTGAAGTGAAGCAAATGGCGTAAAACTTTGGAACGTCGAGGACTGAATTATATGAGTCATAGAATGGTAGAGCACATACCTCCACCAAGGCTGAACTGTCCCTTCAATTCAATCTGTACCAAATTACAGATTGAATTGATAATTTAATTATTTGGTACATACACCTAAACTGGATGAGCTGAATTAATAAAATACACTTGAATACATTTAACAAACTTCTGACAGGGATTATACTTTGAAGGCTAGTGCTGCAGTGAGAAGAGGAAACCTCATTCTGAAGAACAGGTCAGGCTGCACGTTGCTGTTCTTCCTGTTGGTCTTGAAACAGCTCATACCCTACATTGCGAAACGTCTCTTTTAGAGCAGTGATAGTACAGATTTGGTCATCTTTGTCGTAACAAATCACTTTGAGCTGCATTTTATGTATGAAAGGTGCTGTATAAATAAAATGTATTATTATAATAGTATTATCTTGAAAGGTTTACATTTGGATCAGAGTGATTCAATTAATCTTGCTTTGGAAAACGCGGCATTAAAACATCCTGGAKAGCAAAGCAAGGGATTTCCAAATCTGATCATTGATGAACCACTGAGCCCTGGAGACAATGAATGTGTGTGTAACACTTCCTGACCTTCTATCCAAAGGTTGAGATATTTTGGTCAGGACACATGTGGTGGACTGACCCAGTGTGTGGCGGCTGCAGACGCTACAGCTCCACTCTGGTACCTGTATATAGGGCCTCGTCCTCRYCGGGCCCAGTACAGTGTGTGGTTTGAGGCCAAAGCCGCCACGGGCCCGAGTCCTGATAAATGTGGGGCCAGTTCTACATGCTCTGTGCCAGTCACGCTCATCCGGTGGGCTCCTTTTGAGGAGGTGAAAACTACCTCAGCCAGATTCCCTGGAAAAGCCAACAACAAAATGAAAAAAGCATTGTACAACAAAGGCATGACAACCTCTTTGCCAGTGGTTTTCATGACACATGAAAGGACAAATGCATCTCATCCCCCCCCCCCACACACACACACAGACACACACAAACACACACACACTCGTTTTTCACCTTTGGCTTTGCACTCTCTGGTTTTGGGATCCATGGTGTAACCCTCGTGGCAGTCACAGGTGAAGCTGCTGTTCACAGAAACACACAGTTGATCACACACATCTGTCTCCAGGCATGTGTCCACCTCTAGGTGAAAGAATAGATACTTGTTAACATAATTTTATTTTCTAGTTTCCTTTTTTCATATATTCTTTTGGTGATATAAAACTTTCATCCTTCAGGTGGCTGCTCACCCTCACACTGACTGTCCTCGACCAGCCTCGTGTTCTCTGGGCAGTAGCAGACAAAACCCATCTTCAGGTCCTCACAGCCATGAGAGCAGCCTCCGTTATTTACCAGACACTCATTCTGATCTGCAGGAGCAAAGTTAAAGCAGAAACCCTTCAATCCTTCAGTGCAGTGCAAATTTGAACATCTGCAACTAAAATCCATCTGCTACAGGGACCTGTTTAGCCACATCTCTGTGTATTTATCCTGTTTTTTAAAGTTGATGGTAAATGTCATCATTCACCTGAACCTCAGCATCTAGCCAATCCTTCAACAGACTGAAGCCTTGTCACTAAAAATCTTTGAGGGAATGGTGGATTTGATGTTTAAGGCATTAAGAAATGCAGACACATGGCAGGCAGATAGTAGCTTTTATAAGTCAGTGGTTGGATCCCCAGCTCCTCCAGACTGCATGCTGAAGTGTCCTTGAGCAAGACACCCTACTCCCACATGACGGCAGTAAGTGAATGGTGTGTGATAGAAAAAGAGCTGTATATAAAAGTGCTGCATGAATGTGTATATGAATGGGTGAATGTGACATGTACTTTAAAGTACTCTGACTGGTCGATAAGGCTTAAAAAGTAGAGACATAGTTCATTGTGTCTATATTGTTCTAGATTTTCGTTGGTTTCACCGGGAAAAAAAAAAAGATCTAGTAAATTTGAATGTGGTTTCATTAAAACACTGTTGAGCCTTATTAGAGGAATGCACTGATTAATCTGAGCTTTGCTCCTGAGTGAAGGCTGTGGTTTTAAACTCTTCTCAATGAGCAGAGAATGACAAACTTAAAAAACAGCAAAACATTTTACAAATCTGAAGTCGATCAATCATGTGTTCACCTCCTGCTTGAAATATGTTGTGGTGGCAGTTCATTTCATTCACAACACGTTCAAATACATGAGATAGGACAATGAGCACAGGGGAAACTGAATGTTTTAAATCTACTGCTGAGGTCACATTATCACGCTATTAATATTGTGATAATTATTGATTTGGTTTCATTGCTCAGCCCTAGTTAAGCTAAATTACACAAAATATACAGAAGCAATTATGCTCTTGTGCGATCTATCAACCACCTCGAATGAAACTGTTGTTTCTCTCCACACAATCCAGTCTGACAGGAAATCCTGTCCTGTCCTGCAACACTGAGGACTCTTGTTGCTTTATCTAGGTTGGTTCGAGGTTACATTTGTTCACTGAGTGCTGATGCACAAGATTGTATCACAGCTCATCCAGGTTATGCAAATACCTGTATAAAGAAGAAAAAATTCCATCAGCACCTGAGTAACCTGTGTGTCTAGTTTGAAGCTCTTTTTACACACACACACACACACACACACAAAGTAATTTTGTGGTTGCTGTCAGTTTGTTTTGTCAAACTTCAAACTGAGTCACCACACTTTATTATTATTATTATTAATAGTTATGTATGTAACAGTGAAACAGCTGGCCAACTGCACAAAAACATAATTTGAATCAAGGGGATGAATTTTACCATCTTGTAAATGTCTTTTTGTCCATTTATTAGTGTCACGGGGCATAATACATGGCCAACACACAGAGACAAACACCCATTCACAACTATGGATAATTAAGAGTCTCCAATTAACCTAACCCCCATCTGCATGTCTTAGAACTGTAGGAGGAAGCCACAGTACCTGGAGAAAACCCACACAGACACAGGCAGAACATGCAGAATCCACAGAGAGGCCCCATCCAAACTGGGATTTGAACTGTCAACGGTGACCGCGCTAACCACTTCCCCACAGTGCTGTGAGGTGACACCCACATGTTTTCTTGTGTGCGACCAACAATCCAAAACAAAAGGGAATCTGCATTTTCATTACTTGCTTATCAATGACTCAAACAATGATTTATTAAGACAATAGTTTAATTTCATAAAATTTTAAACACACGTCACTTTGTTGCATTTCCTGCTGCTCACTGATGAAACAGGATGAGAGCACCACGATGCACGTCTATATGACAAGAAGCACTACTCTACTGCCCTCTGCTGGCTCTTCAGTGGGTGGACAAATGAACATTAGATTCATGAGTGTTTCACTCATTCAAAAACTGTAGATGTAACATACATGTGCAATCCTGTTACACTTCATATGTTATTTTAAAATACTTATATTACAAATATTTTTAGTGTATATTGTTTACTTTGAACCTGCACACAATACACACACACACACACACACACACACACACACACACACACACACACACACACACACACACACACACACACACACACACACACACACA